TAGGGTTAGGTTAAGGGTTAGGTTTAGGGTTAGGGTTAGGTTTAGGGTTAGGTTTAGGATTAGGTTTAGGGGGGTTAGGTTTAGGTTTAGGAGTTAATTTTAGGTTTAGTGTTTACAGTGTGCTTCTGTCTCCGCGCTGTTGTCGCCCTGTTGATGACGTCAGCGACGCGGTTTAGTCGGGTGCGGTTTAGTCGAGCGCGGTTTTGTGGTGGAACCCGCTCCAGCACCTCAGACCCCTCTAGCTCCGCAGCCCCTTCAGGGCCCTGGAGAGCGACAGTGCCCCAACAGGCCTTCATCTCCGCCCCTATCGGCAGCCAGTGCTGAATCGGTTTGGGACAATGAGGATGTGAGGGGTCATGACTTATCGTATGATGAGAACCCTATTCCAGATAAACCACCCTTTGCTGGATTGTTTCAACCATCCCTGTTCAAATCAATCCTGTTCAAGGCCAAGGTGTCCGCCCATATGGAGGTGGCGGTGCCTCCAGATCAGGCAGCAGTGGATCCTACGGATCACAGTTCCTCTTCGATGAGAAGGTCCCCGCTCAGGAAATCATCCCTTCTCCCAAACTCTTTAAAGATGTAGTCCAACCCCAGTGGGTCCAACCTGGGACCCTCGTCACCCCTGGCGGTAGTGGCAAACGCCTTTACTCAGTGGATCGTACCATGGAAGAGCTTCTTAAGCTCCCTTCCGTTGATCCTCCAGTTCAGGCTCTCACTTCCTCTTCAGTGCTCCCACCGGACCTTATAGAGGGACTTAAGGCGGAGGACAAAAGAGCTGAATGGGCTTGTCACAAAATTCATCAAGCCGCAGCTTGGGCCATTAAAGCGGCCACCTCTGCCTCATTCTTTCAATAGGGCCACGATTGCCTGTCTTCACTAATTATTCACTAGGCTCCCGGCAGGGGACGCCAGACTGCAGCATGACGTAAACAAAATTGTAGCCATGGTGGAATATTCTGCAGATGCCACCCTTAACGCAGCGAAGTTTGCTTCACGCGCCATGGCCTCTAATGTCACCTCTTGTAGACTCTTATGGCTACGCCACTGGAACGTGGATATGCATTCGAAGTGGAAGATTGTTTCCTCTCCCTTTAAAGGGGGCAAGTTATTTGGGGAGGCCCTTGACTCAGTTTTAGTTGACAACAAGGATAAGCAGAAGATGATGCCCACGGTTTCCAGGAAACCGGACCGCAGGTCGGCCTCCTTCTCCTGCAGGCAGGCTTCTCGCCAGCTGATCCTCCAAACAACAACTCCTCCTTTCAGTGTTCCTACGCTCAAGGGACAGATCGCAATCAGGATCGACAGTGATTTTGGGACGGGGCCCATCAGCAGCCGTACTCCCGGCGTCCTTTTTGGGGAGGGTTTGGAAACAAGCCCTTCTGTTGGAACAAGTGACCACCATCCCAATCCTCCCATAGGGGTGTGGCTCCAACTCTTTGCCACCCAGTGGGAGGAAATTACCTCGGATGCGTGGGTGCTCCAAACGATTCAAGTAGGCCTCACTCTGGAATTCCTTCCCCCCTCCGCACCACTTCATTTGTTGCCCTACCAAGAGCATGGAGGCCAAGATCCATCACCTCAAAAAGATCAGGGCCACAGAACTGGTTCTCCTGGAGCAAGAACGCAGGGGGTTCTATTCCATTCTTTTTCTAGTGCCCAAAAGCTTGCAGTCTGTCCCATCCATCTTGGGCTGCATTCATCAAGGGGACTTCCTAACATCAATAGATTTGAAGGAGGCATACCTCCATGTCCCCATCAGGCCCAAGCACAGGCGCTACCTAAGATTCTTCTATGCTGGGACCAAATTTCAGTACAGGGCTTTTCCATTTGGCCTGTCGTCAGCCCCAAGGACATTTACGAAGATCCTGTCTGCGGTCGCTGCCCATCTAAGATCGCGATCAATCCGCCTACAGTGTTACCTACACGACATCTTGATTCAGTTGTCGTCAGCAACACGAGATCTACGCATCACTATGAGTATGTTGCAGAATCACGGTTTTACCATCAACCTTGAAAACAGCCACCTGACTCCAGTCACCAGGATTTGGCACCTGGGGACCGTGATAGACACTTCATCTTGCGAAGTCTTGTCACCGGACCGCGTCAAAAGCCTCAGAGAACTGGTCCAAAAGGTTAGCCTCTCCCCCAGCATTCACATTGTCACCCTGTCACCATTGCTGGGGAAGATGATCTCGTGTCTCTCAATTGTTCTTGGGCGAGATTCCATGTGAGAGATCTGCAATGGCTTCTCCTGCCAATGCAGAGAGCAAAGACCAGCTATTCACCGGTTAAAGTATGTCTACCCACCAAAGTCATTTGTTCTCTCTGGTGATGGCTTTCACCAGCCCTCCTGAAAGAGACTTACTTCAAGGAACTGCCCAGACTGACTGTCATAACCGATGCCAGCCTCTTCGGCTGGGAACTCACTTGCACATCCTAGTGGCTCAAGAACAATGGTTAGGTCACAATCTCTTGCACAACATCAATTGGTTGGAGCTGAGGGCGGTCAGGCTAGCGCTTCGTAAGTTCTAGCACTGCATCTAACATCACCTTGTCCTCACCGACAATGTGGCAACAAAGGTGCACATAAATCGCCAAGGGGATGCCAGGTCCCGGTCCCTCATGATGGAGGCGGAAGTGATTGGTTGGTGGGCAGAACGTCACCTACAATCCATTCAGGCGGAGCACATATCTGGAGTGAACAATGTCCAGGGGGACTGGCTGAGCTGTACCAGACTAGACAACTCAGAGTGGTGCCTCCATCCACGCCTCTTTCACCAATTATCTCAAAGGTTTGGTCATCCCCTGGTCGACCTGTTCACCACTCCAGAGAACGCTCAGCTCCCCTGATTTTTCACCAGACTCCAATGTCCCTGGGTGGAAGGGGTTGATGCCCTCTGATCCCCCTGGCCTCCGGGGCTGCTCTATGCCTTCCCTCCACTGGTGCTCATTCCCAGACTGATCAGTAAGATTCTGGAGGAGCAGGCAGAGGTTCTTGTGGTGACTCCATACTGGCCCCGACGGACTAGGTTTGCCGATCTGATATGCCTGTCCATCACACATCCCTGGAGGATTCCTCAGGAGTCGGTCTCAGCCAGGGAGCAGTTACGCATCTGGAGCCCCAGTGGCTCAAGCTAACCATATGGAACTTGAGAGGGACCTCCTGAAGAGAGCCAACTATTCTACCAAGGCGATCAACACCATCCAAGCCTCCAGACGAGCCTTTATCTCGCGGATCAATGATGTCACCTGGACCACCTTTGCTAGCTGGTGCACGACACGCCATCTTCAACCAACAGCCGCTTCCCCCCCTCAACTCCTAGATTTTCTACTAGGAGGGCCTTGATAGGGGTCTAGCCGCTAACACCTTATGATGCCAAGTAGCAGCCCTGTGCATTGTGCTCTCCTATGGCAACCATCAACTACTCAACAGGCACCCGGAGGTACGCAGCTTCCTACGTGGCGCCTCCAACCTGAGTCCCCAGGTTGTCCATCATTATCTTTCCTGGGATCTTGCCACTGTGTTCAGGGTGCTCAGTCCCCCTCTCCTTTGAGCCATTACGTCATGTGTCCTTATGACACCTCTCTCTTAAAACTGCCTTCCTTGTTGCCATTACTTCAGCTCGCAGGATTTCAGAAATTGCAGCACTATCGGTCCGGGACCATTTGTGTACTATCCACCCAGACAGAGTTGTCCTCCGTCTCGATCCATCGTTTGTACCAAAAATTAATTCATATTTTCACCATGCCCAGGAGGTTGTCTTTCCAGACTTTTGTCCACACCCAAATCACCCGAGGGAGCATCCTTGGCACTCTCTCGATGTTCGAAGGGCAGTCAAGAGGTACATCAGACACACGGCTCCCCTTCATTGGTTGGAGGTCTTGTTTGTCACTTTTCAAACCGACCTCGTTGGGTCGAAAGGTCACCTTGTCCACCATTGGGAGATGGATCAAGGCTTGCATCTCCCTGGCCTACGAACAGTACGGCAGGCCCGTTCCTTATCGAGTGACGGCACATTCCACACGCAGCGCAGCCACTCAGGCGTCGGTCGAGGAGATCTGCAAAGCGGTGATGTGGTGTCCCCATCGTTATTTCTCAGACACTACAAACTGGACAAATTTGCATCCGCAGATGTGGCCTTTGGCAGGAGAGTGCTGCAGGCTGTTGTTTCTGAGACTCATTAGGGTTGGGTTGTTACTCTGTTGTTCCCGCCCTTGGACATTTCTTTGCTTGGGTTTGTCCCTTGCTTGGACTCTCCAAGCAGCACATGGGAAAATAACCATTGGCTTACCTGAAGTGTCCTTTTCCGTGGGCTGCAGGAGAGTCCAATCCCGTCCTGAAGTTATCTTCTTTCCATCGGAGTTGTTCTTACTTTTCGTCTGGACGTTGTTTGGAAGGATGGAACATTGACATTGACTCGACATTGACTTACCTTTTGGGACCATGCCTTCATTAAAAAACTGAAGATACCGGGAGACCAGGAGGCGTGGTCAAGAATTTCAATCCAGTCCATTGGGCGGAAGGACAGAATTTAACCCTTGCTTGGACTCTCCTGCAGCACACGGAAAAGGATCCTTCTGGTAAGCCAATGGTCATTTGTGCCAGCAGGGAGCTGCACATTGTGTTCGTCCTGTCTCTTCCCCCCCCCACCCCCTGCTGGCCCGCGGAGGGGAACTACAATGCTGTCGAAGAAATCCAGTTTTGACATCTATGGACTAGACAAACGTGCAAGATATTTTTCCTGCAGAGAACGAATAAGTGTGCAGGATGCAGCGCGAACATTACCACCCCAAAGGCTCATTTGGTCAGCTTTCGGATGTCTTTTCCTTGCAGAATCCTTTCCTCTACATCTTCACACCCATGTCCCCTTTAACAACTGAGAATTTTCTAGCATCTTCCAACCACGGCTGACTGTATGAAATCAATCCTTCTCGCTCTTATTTTGGTACAGCATTGTTCCAGTAGACTCTTAAGTCACTCATACACACTTACTGAGTACATTAAACCAGGATGGCCCACGCTCATTTATACAAGCCAAAAGGAATGAAGGTGCTGGCAGTGCATCTCCCTGATGTTCAGTGCAGTTGTATCCAAGAGGAAGCTGGAATGTTGTCTGTGCTGTTAAAATGGTTTTTGGTTCTGTTTAGCTTATCTGATGGTTTTGTCAGGCGCATTTTCCCCTCTTTCATTTTTTTCTTCTCCCTGCAGATTTTATAGATATGTCTGGAGCTCCTTTTCCTGAATTAATTGATTTAGTAAAAACAGCCCAAGTGCCTTCCTCTCCTTCTTTCACCTTATCAGATGTTTTGGAAGCTTCTGGCAGCTTATCCACATATAGTGAAACTCCTTCATATTTTGGTAAGCAGAGTTGGAAGCCGTTGGGCCTGAAAAGATAAAATTAGGATTTCTGGCATGTCCAAAATACAGCTAGTCCTTACAATCAGAGTTGGGACCAGAATTTCTATTGTTTAAGGCAGGGGTGTCCAAACTTGGGAACTTTAAAAAGATGGTTGTAAGAGTTGACTATCTAAAAACAACAACAACAACATCTCCTTCAAGCTCAACTCCTAGGACTTTTGTGCATTTGTTAGCAATATAGAAGTGGTTTGTCATTACTTTTTCCTCGTATTTTCTTTCAAATCCCTAGTCTACCTTACCTTGCTGCTGTAGGATTTCTTGGTGCTCTCCTATCTAAATAGAAGCTACACATACTACTGCTAGTTTTTTTTAGACTAGCCAAAGTTCGCCGCTGTCTGCCAAATTTTAGTATTTCAAGATAATTTTATTTTAAAAAATGTTTTTTTTTTGTAGCATCTTAAAAGACTTGAATTCTTTCCACCATAATTAACAAAAGGCAATATTGGATAGATTTAACTAAGCTTGCTTGTTTCTCCCCCTTCCCCACCTCGTAGAGCAGACATTATGTAAACAAGCACTGCGTATGAACAGCTTTATAAACGTTATTGAGAAGAGAGCGGGGGGGGGGGGGGAAAGAGAGAGAACCATTTGCCACACTTTTGTTTTTTATAAGTTGAAAGATGGTGAGTGGGAGAGGAAGAAGGCCCTTGCTGATTATTAGAGGGACACCCATGGGGATGCTAAAACGTTTGTGCGATTCTGTGAAAAATGTCATCTTTTTTCAGTGCCATTGTAACTTCAAACGGTGACTAAATAGACTAGTCGTTCATTGTAAGTAGAGGACTACCTGTGCCACAAACATTTTTGTGTGTGTGTTTTTTAGATCAGGCCTCTCTTCCGTTCTCAGAAGAATCGATATGTCTTCAAGCAGACGAGAGCCGTCATCCCGATTTCCTGGAGGGAAGGCCTTCTGTGTCTCCTCCTCCGCCAGCCCTTCCTATGGATGTGACTCCGGAGGCACCATCTGGACTGGATGCTGACGCTCAGGGAACTGTCCAGCCCCTAAGTGGGGTTGAGACCCCCATGGCACCCAAAACAGACAGCAGCAGTGACAAAAGTGCCCAGGAATTGATGGATGAAACCAAAGAGGCCTAGCTTTTCAGAGGACATGTTTCACCTTTGGGCTTTAAAGCGGCTATTGGCACCAGAAAGCCCTAGTTTTTAATGTGCTGCGGAAACATTTGATTGGTTTCTGAATCGCGGTAGAATTCAGCTTCCTTCAATCACACTATGGACTCTGGGGCCTGTATACCCATGTTAGTTCTGCTTAGTGGTAACACTAATGATCGGAGTTCAGAAACAGAATCCCCCCCCCTTTTTTAAAGAGCTCTTTGTCTCTAGTTGCTCATACATTTGAAAAAAGGAAGGGCTCTGTGAGCAATATCAGCTGCGCATTACCAGAGGGGGAATGTAGGAATTTGTGGGGGACTTTTGACTTTTTTTTTTTTGAATTTTTTAAAAAGAGGTGCCTTAAGCCTCTCTGGCTTAGTGTACCTGTTTTGCTCTATATTTGCTTCTCAAATCCCCCCCCCTCCCCCAAGAAAACTTGTACTTCAGCTCCCAGAATTCCTGAGCCATCTGGCTCAGCAATTTTGGGAGTTGAAGTCCACATGTTGTAAAGTTGCCATCGTTGTCCACTCCTGCCTTACGGTAAGGCTTTTAGCCAAGTGCAGCTGCTAAGGAATGCAGGAAAACTCCTTATAGTAGGTGTGGCTTTCCAGCTCCTGGAAACCATGAGCCAGTTGGCTCAGGAATTCTGGGAGTTGCACATGCTGTATGATTGCCATAGTCAATCATCCCTCCCTTAAGGTAAGGCTTTTAAGCTTAGGGGAGGTTTTTTCTTTCTTTCTTTCTTTTTTCTTTTTGCAAATTTAATTGTTTCTGTTACCTGTGTCCTATCCCATTGACTTGAGATTATTTTATTTGAAAAGTCATAACTTAGAATTTTAATAGGAAGAATACGATCTTTTACTCTTAGAATCACACCTCCCCCTTAATAAAAATCAACCCATTTAATCTTCTTTGACCCATTTGAGCCTCTGCCTTGCACCCAAGGCTTTCTGAAATGTGTGAGCAGAATGAAGACCCCAATGGAAGACACCCAAAGAAGTCGACTTCTTTCCCTGAACCCAGCAGATTCCACGAATGGGATGGTTTGGGTTTCAGGAAGAGATGTGTCCGCACGCAAAAGAATGCAATCTCATTATGTAGGTACATTGGACTTGGAATTTCCCCTAGCCTCCGTTTTATGTTTCGCCCCAGAAAGCTATAATCATTATTTGCTGCTGCAGAAAGTTTATATGCAACCCCATGAAAACTCTTTTGGAATGGTAGCTGAAGAATCAAAGGACACTATGTAGGGTTTTTAATTTGTTTTAAATTATGAGTTGTTGCTTCACGCTGTGCCAGAGGCTTGGTCTATTACTGTCAAGCTACTGTATGTCTTGGTGAGAGGTGTTAGTCCAATGGCACTAAATCAATAATACATAATTTGAGGTGCATGCTATACCAGGCCATCTTGCAATCAGCTGGTGCTTAAAGTGGAAGCATTATTTTCTGCTAATGTGGAAAGTGAGCAAGATTGCTTCTAATATGAATAATGGAGCAAATTGGTAACACTAAATCAAGTGTTTCTCAACCTCAGGCACTTTTAAGAAGCATGGACTTCTAATTCCCAGAATTCCGTAGCCAGCATAGACCGGGTGGAGTATTCTGGGAGTTGGAAGTCTCGTATCTTAAAAGTGGTTGAGGTTGAGAATCATTGACCTACACGCAGGAATGGGCTTTCAAGGATCATTTTCTTTTGGTTCTGAAATTGATTTAGTTATTTTTAAAGATTGCAAAAGTTTCCCATCTTTAAGAGAGATTTATTCTAACCTGAAGCCATTTTATTGTTGTTCTTTTAACTTGGTACACTGTCAGCTACTAAAGTCTTGCAATGATTTACAGTGGAATGTGTATTGTCTTATCTTGTGAAATCAGTCCTAAATCGGAAGTTCGACAATAGCAGGCCCATATAAAGGCCAACTGAACAAAATAAAGTACCATTCGCTTACATCGTGTCCCAGCAGGGACTCTTGACATTAAATTCCTACTTCAAAATCCCATCAACTGACTAACACCACGGATCGCTTGAAAAGATGAAGGAGCTTTAGGATAGGCACGTTAGCTGGGGATTTGGGGGAGTTAAAAAAAATGTCTTAATCTATGTGAAGATTTACGGGAGTTGGTTCTTCAACTCTCCCGGCCTCCTACCATTTATGGCTTTTTAAATAAAGGAGCAATTATTGGCCAGAAACCAACTGGCAGCCATAACAGTGTTCCATGTGAATAGGTTGAACGCTGTGAAGTCCATGCCAGCAAACCATCTGGACGAGAGTTTCTTTTGCGTTGTTTTACAAGCACCCTGCTGTGCTGGCTGGAGGATTCTGGGAGTTGAAGTCCACAGGACTTAAAAGTCGCCAAGGTTGAGAAACACTGTCCTATGCCCAGTGAATACTTTTAGTTATGCTGAAAGTTGAAAACATTTTCATACAGCAGGTCTTACACATTCTGCTTTTTGAACAGTGAAACCAACTCTTTTAAAAGGAAACACCCCACACAGCTTAAAATTTTAGCTAAAGGTTTTTATTATTATTACTTCTATACAATTTTGAAGTACATATTTGTTCTTTTGCCATTGGCAGGCCATCTGCAAATCTTTCAGAAATGGTTCCTTCTGGATGTAGAAAATAAAATTGAAATCTTGGCTGATTTTAAAAATAAAACAGAACAGAGTTAAAATTACTTTTGGTGGCGATACGGAGGGTATAAAATTTGAATTACAGATTTTTAAGGATTATACTCCCGGACAAGTTAACAGTTATCTTTAATCAATGAATTAACCTACTTCACTCAACTGCAATGTTGCACAGATATGGCAAACTACACTTCTGTACATAAAAGATGAAATTTACACAAAGTAAGAGGCTCAAGGTATGAAAGACCTGTGCAGGCGTCCTTTTGAATCAGATCTTCATTTAACAACTTGAGTTAGCTGGAGCACACGTGGCCAACCCAAACATGTCTTAACTCCAGCACCACAGTCACACTGACAACCTTGCAATGTCTGTAAATAAATATGTGGTTACACCACACAATACAAACGGGGGAAAAAAATACCTGAAAACAGCTGTGATTTCCCCTGCAAGAGTCAGTAGAAAAATTATTCTCTTCTGAAAAACACTCAGAAAGAGACAGCTGAATAGCTCAAAAGATATCCTAGTATTAGTCAATAAAACAACATCCTATATCATTTTTACTGTTTCGTATAATTCATGTCCAGGCCCAACAGGACTTTTAGGTCAAATGTGCAATCCTTGCTCCTCTCTACTTACATGGGAAGTGTACAAGCACCTCTTAGACTGCAAAAACAAAGCCAGAACAAAGTTTTATTCTTTATGCACCTACAGTTGGAATAAATCTTCACTAATGGGTGTAGTCTAAATCCAACACTCATCAGGAAGCAAAAAAATAAAAAATTAATTTCAGAAGGAAAAGGAAAGAAAGGATCCAGATTTATCAGACTTTCTTAAAAAGGCATTTGTGCTTCTGTTTCAAATCAGAACTGCTATGCTAATGCTCCTGTTTCAATTAAAACAAAATTCAGTTTTTCTTGTTTAGCCACTGGGATGTTTCCTCCCACTTTCTGTAATAAATTAGACTCTTACAAATCAAATATGAAAGAACTGTCACATGGTGTTTTTTTTTAAAGAGACAGTGCAAAATAAAAAGCCAAGATGGGCAGAGCTTGTGATACAGCTTACAACATCAAAAAAATACATACAAAACAATTCAAGGGAAACTTTTTTTTTGCTATCACACAGGTCAATTTTTCTGCCAAATGTCAAATGTGATCCTATGGAACTGAACCAGGATGCTGCCTTCTAGCACAATGGAAAATATGTATTTTGAACTCTAAAGTTAAAGGTGCTGAATGAATTCATTGCAATGCTCACACATTGAACTGACCCTTGTAATAACACAGCCTACTGATTCTTGAGTCAGTTATCAAAATGTTTGCCTAGAAAAATCACAGATGAAAGATAACAATCAGCAAGGACATTATTAGCCTCTCCAGTCTAGACTACAGAAACTGTTCAAGAAGAGTAAATCTGTTGCACGGTTAAGTAGAACTTATCTGGCATAGTGGTCAAAATTCACTACGTGGAATGTATTAGCAAAATACAGTACATGCAGGGTTGGTTTTTTTTTTCCTAAAAAAAAAAATAATCTAAAAATGAGTTAGCAGCAGGACTGAAAAATTTTTCATAGCAAGCGTGAGTGAATAAAGGATGATCATCTTGGAAATAAAGGGAGAAAGGGCACAGGTACCTGTACTGGGTCACCTGGTCGCTGTAGGCACCTTAACATGAACCTGTCAAGGGCTTCTTCTATCACTCTTGCTTGACACTTTACTACAGACAACTTTTGAGTTTCGTTATACCAATTTCCTCTATGTTACAGATTTATTAGTCACTTCAATTCAAGTAGATTCTGTCTGCGCTGAGTCATTAAAAGTGTCAGATCTTAGCATTTAAGTGGGCTTCTAGAGTACTAAGCTGGATTCAGCACGGGAAGCTCAAATTAGTTAATAACCAGTTGGATTCCACCAGGTAGCTCACGTTGACTTCTGCCGGTAGTGAAGGGTCAAATCACCCCCACTTTTCCATATGAAATGCTTGACGGTTCGAAGGTCCATATTGGGATCCAAAACCTGTCACATAAAATAATAATTCAGATTGAAATATATCCCAGGTGAAGAAGTACACTCTTGCAAATCTCTTCCAAGAGCTAATTTGCAAGCACCAGAGCCACGCTCAAAATAAGTACAGATAGTCCTTGATTTATGATCACAATTGAGCCCAAAATTTATGTTGCTAAGTAAAACATTTGTCCCATTTTACAACTTTTCTTGGCTACAGTCGCTACGTGAATCATCGGTTAAGTTAATGACACGGTGGATAAGTGAATTTTGTTTCTCCACTGACTTTGCTTGTCAGAAGGTTACATGACCCCAGGAGTCAGTTGCCAAGTGACTGAATTTTGATCGTGTGACCGTGTGGATGCTGCAATGGTCATAAGTATGAAAATTGGCCATAAGCCACTTTCTTCAGTAGCACTAACTTTGAATGGTCACTAAATGAACTGTTGTAAGTCGAGGACTACCGGTAGCTCAGTTTATCTTGTGGACTAGAAGCATACATCTGAAACCTTATCCAGATCAGTTATATCAGATGGCTGGATTTGTTCCCTTCGCAATGAAACCCTTTTGAGAAGAAAGCAGTGCCATTTCAAGGCTTGCCTATTGCCCAAGAAAATTTTGCCCTTTAGAGAGGACTTTCTCCTTATCCACGGATTCTATAAAAAAATAAGCTTTCCAGAAGATACTAGACATTCAAAGTCATTTTCACCAGTAGTGGGATTCACTTACCTATCCTACCAGTTCGCAAATGTGAGTGTGCGCTATGTCAGTGCACCATCTTCTGCGCATGCACAGTGCTTGCACATTACGTCGGGGTGGGTGGGCGGAGTCTCTCGCAACCGCTGCTACCGGTTTGCCCAAACAAGAGCCAAGGTGGCGCAGTGGTTAAATGCAGCACTGCAGGCTACTGCTAGATCATCAGGTCAGCGGTTCAAATCTCACCGGCTCAGGGTTGACTCAGCCTTCCATCCTTCCGAGGTGGGTAAAATGAGGACCCAGATTGTTGGGGGCAATATGCTGACTCTCTGTAAACCGCTTAGAGAGGCCTGAAAGGCCTATGAAGCGGTATATAAGTCTAACTGCTATTGCTATTGCTATCAAACCGGGGAAAACCAGCTGAATATCACCTCTGATATTCTCCCACTTAGTGGTTGAGACACTAAGGATTGAGCAACAGGTCTGAGGAGGAGCCTTGTTATTAAACGCAGTTTCTCAACTGTGGCCAGTTAAAGATGTCTGGATGTCAGCTCCAATTCATCTTAAAATGGCTAAAAACTAGATGAACTGATTTAATGGAGTATTTTTTCATTCTCTGGGGTGAACCCTTTGGAGGCAGCTGTTGAATCAGCACTCAAACCTTATGAATATAATCATACTTTTGCCATGTATGTAATTGACAGAACCCCAGATGTATGGGATAATTTTTTAACATTTACATCAGTGTTTCCCGATTCTGGGAATTGAGATCCATACATCTTCAACTGTTCACAGCTGGGAAGCACTGATTTAGAATTTCCCTACTTGCATCCTGTTTCATGTTGCCTAATCAAAATGCAATTAAAATGCTATACCAGCCATCAAGAATATACAATATACATCCAACAGGAACAGGAAGTGCCTCACAGGAGCAAATAGAGGTAAATCCTAGAGAGGCAGGAAATGCATCACAGAACAATGGAGATGAATGCTGGAGTGGAATAAAGCTGCATACAAGGCAGACATAACACCTGTAACACATCCCACTCAGAGGTGGGTTGCTACCGGTTCGCACCAGTTCGGGCGAACCAGTAGTGGAAATTGGGACTGGATCACCGAACCGATAGGGACAGCAGGCTGGCCACGCCCCCGAACTGGTTCCCCGGTTGCTACTGCCATTGCCAGCTTGTTTTTTAGTCATTTTTCATGTTCTGCACATGTGCAAAACAATTTAGTCAACTGTGCATGAGTTCACAATGCGCAACTGGTGCATTGCATGTTCCAAGCGAACTGGCAACAAATCTGGCATCAACTCATCCCTGATCCTACCCCTTCTCTTTCTATGAGGAGCTCCAAGCTGCCTACCTGGTCTTGACACAAGAGTTCGATCTTCTCCTCTGCTAAGACAGCGATGTCTTCCTCTTTCTCTTGTTCCCCAGTCTTGTCGTTATTGGAAGAGCTTGTTGTTTGGGACTCATTGTCGAGGTTTATTATTTTTTCGTAAACGTGCTC